TCGGGGGTTCCTTGTCCTTCTGGGCCTGCGCCTCCTTGGAGTGCCGCCATTTCATCCGCCGGTTCTGGAACCACACCTTCACCTGCGGCCGCGCCGCCCTCAGACAGGCGTTACGGCCCCTCCGCGCATAGCACCGCACCGCCCGGCCCCGACATCTTCCACCGGGGAAAAAAGTAGGCACCGTCCTCAGCCCCCTCTGCCACCCCCTCACGCGACTAAGGTGGCTTTTTTTTTTTCTCTTTCTCCTGCTAGTTCGCCTATTTAAATACCAAACGCCCACCTTTCCCCCATGTTTTGTGTTTTGTTTTCTTTGTTGTGTTTTTGTTTGTTTGTTTTTCTCTCTCTCTTACTTCTTCCAGGAAACCAAATCTTGCTCAAGAAACCACAGCGTTATACAATTCTGTGCGCTGCGGGCCCTCAATAGTGGAATCATTACAGAGTGGCGTTTAATGATTCCGTTTGAAGAAGAGTTTTCACTTCCCCTACTACTAAGGATTTCACAACGCGGGAAGAGATTTAGGAAAAAAAAAAAAAGAAGAGAGAGAGAAAAAAAGAGACATTAGAAGTGTTTGCTTCTACTTCCTTTGACCTAAACTGCCTCCTACAGTGAGTTGCACTTGAATAAAGCATACGCTGGTGATCTGCCCCAGCCCCGCTCGCCTCTCCTCTCGGCCTGCTCCGCGGTGACCAAAACAAAGGCGAAAGCTCCGCGTCGGGCCGTGAAACCTGTGAGCAGGAGATGCTGGAGGAGAGGTCCCGGTCCTCTGCCAGCCCCGCCAAAGATTAAGGAAGGAAAAATGCTTTGCAATAGCCTTTCTACCCCCTTCCCCCTCCGGCAACCCTCTAAACTGGAAGTAAGATTTGAAGTAAAACCGAAGCCGTTCTTACTTGAGCATCTGTCAGCCCCAGCATCGCTGCCAGTTGCTTTCTGTCCGGTTTGGTGACGTATTTCTGGATTTCAAACCGTTTTTCTAAACCTTTCCTCTGCAGGTTGGAAAAAACAGCCCTGGACCAGGAGCGTTTCCTTTTGTACGTCTGAGGCAGCGTGTCCTTGGTTAGAACTGCATACGGACCTGGCAGGGGGGGAGTGTAAGAAAAGCGGGGGGGGGGGGGGGAGACAGAGAGGGAGACGATGTTATTAATATCGATGCCTGAAAGTCACTCTTAAGTCGATCAAAATAACAGCTGGACACGGTGTGCGGGAAAGGCCTGGCTGCGAGTCCTATCAGCCTGGGCTTCCTTGGGCAAGGATGGAGCGCTCTGGAAATCCAATTTTTTCCTCTCCCCCACCTCCCCACTCCTTCTTTCTCAGCCCAGGTATTATTTAGTACTGTCTGGGATACTTCTCTGGGTCAGGCCCTAGCTGGTTCTTCCTCCCCTCCACGCAGCCCGGCTTTCGCCCAAAATTTGAGCCTCGCTAGAAGAGATAATGCACTGGCCTTTCAAAAGTCCCTCCGGGCGGAGAGGAACTGGCCGTGGGGCTGCTCCTGGACGGAGGGCCCTGCGCCACAGGAGGGTCGACGAGGGACGAGATGTACCTGGAAAAGTGTCTTGAAACTGGTGCTGAACTGAGCTCCTTGGGTTTGTGTTTAAGGGACCCAGAATAGCAGAGGTCTCGTTAATGGGGTCTAGAGACGCGAAGAACTGGCCGGCGGAAGGCTGCAAGTTGGGGAGATGAACCCCAGTTTGGCGGCTGGTAGTTAATAAGGAGGTCAGATCTGCGAGCACAGGAACAAGGAGAGCTCTGTTACACCGCGGTCGGAACCGGCACCCCAGGGCCTGGGCCGGGCGG